GCTCATAGTATCGATGGAAGTAGCCTGAGGCCAGCCGCGGAGTTGGAGACAGGTAAGGCCAGCGCGTTGCCCATCCTATCGATGGAAGTACCATCTCTCTCTCTCTCTCTCTGTCACTCTCTCTCTCTCTCTCACACACATATGCACACACACACACATGCACACACACACACAGCCAGGGGGCAAAACGCAACGATGAGCTGGGCCACTAGGTGTAAAACGAAAATATAAAGGGCCTGGGAAAAGATGGCAAGTACGGGGGTATTTTGCAAACATGGACAGTGCCCGGTAGGGTATTTTGCAAAACATTTTTGGTGTCCGAGGGCCCGGCGAGGGGTATTCCGCTATACCCAGATCTTTTTGGGGCATTTTGGCATATATCTCAACTTATAGGGGTAATTCGCAAATTGACCCAAAAAGAAAAGGACGAAAAAAGAAAATGAACGGGAACAAAAAGAAAATGAACGGAATAAACCCTCTGCGCAGCTCGCCCCTTCCCCGGCATCCCTCTCTCTCTCTTTTGTTTCTCAAGTGCAAACTGGAGTGCAGCTACCCGTGAAAGCGGGAAGATGCGCCCGTTTTGCAGACGTCGGGTAGCACGTCCGTGCGGGAAGAGAGAGAGAGAGAGAGAGAGAGAGCCGTAGCAAGTCGATCACCTGTTCGATTGCCTATCAAATCTGGACAGAACTACCTGCTCGATTACCTGTCAAATCTGGACAGGGAAAAGAGAAAAAAAAAGGCTTTTTTTTTTTTTTTTTTTTTAAAGTCTCTTTATTTATATTGCCGGAAAACGGGTCCGGGAACCAATTCGATTACCTGTTGATTGTCATTATAGTATTACCGGAAACCCCATAGCAGCCACATCCGTGCTAAAAAAGAAAGAAAAAAGTAAAAAGGAGTCCAGATTTTGGCGGTTTTTGCAATCTTCATTTTGTAGTGAGACTGAGCTTCCCCAAATCACACGGGCATTTTCCCACCCCGCCCACACGTACCTGACTGTGGGCACCGCCACACCAGTCTCGAAATGGGCAAAATGAGAATGAACTTCCCAGTAGACCATGGCCAGATGCACCGGTCACATTTTTGTCTTTTTCACATTTCGAGAGTGGTATGGCGAGGCCCTGTATCCACACGGTAATTGCGTCCGTTGGCCACTCGACGCGTGCCGTCAGTCAACAGCGGTGCCTAAAACGAGTTCAGATTTTGGCGGCTTTTGCAATCTTCATTTTGTAGTGAGACTGCGCTTCCGCAAATCACACGGACATTTTCCAACCCCGCCCACACGTACCTGACTGTATCCACACGGTAATTGCATCCACAGAGACGTGCAAAAAGTGGCAGTGTGAGTATGCCCTGAGACAGACCCGTTGGCCACTCGACGTTTTCCAGGGTAGTAGGCCGACGTAGGTCATGGAACGGACGGAGTTGTGAAGACATTGACTAGCTGATTTGTTTGTTGATTGGTTTATTGATTTGTTGATTGATGTGTTGATTGGTTGCAGTCCACTTACTGTGCAAATTTGTACCAGCATTGCCAGAGCATAGGTCGCGTCGTTCATATTGTCAACTTCGACCCAGCTGCGGAGAACTTCGAGTACGCCGTCTCTGTAGGTATGTCCTATCCATCCTTCCATCCTTCCATCCATCCATCTATCATGTCCTTTGACAAGTTCGATTGTGTGTGTGTGTGTGTGTGTGTGTGTGTGTGTGTGT